CCAGTCTTCCTCAGCAAAAGAGGAGGACTGGCTGGCATGGATGTTAGCTCAGGCCTGATCTTCCTCACCAAAAAAAAAAAAAAAAAAAAAAATGCAAGCCTCTCTCGCCAGTTACGACAACACTAGTCCTGCTCTGATCCGACCAGGATGCTCTGAAGCCTTCATTATCTCAGATGTCAAACAGCTCCTAGCTGGGTGACCCGGCAGATGCTGTGGGCCGTGCCCGACTCAGGCACATAGGACTTGAACATAGGCCACCCCTACTCCCCCAAGGAAGCCCAAACCATATTCCATTCCAGAAATCGCCCCTGAGGGATGATCCACTCATCCTCCCTCCACCCACTTCCTACAAACCAATGGAGGGAACAAACCGCCTGCAAAGCCAGAATCTGCTGACGCCACAGCAGAGGCCTTGGGGAGACCCGTGAGGAACCCAGGACTCCCGGTCTCTGTGTTAGGTCCGATTCCATAATTAGCATCACTAGTCAAAGTGTCTGCAACACAGAACATCTTTTGTATAGTATCAATTCAGCTCTCTGAGACAGGGTGGCGGAAGGACACCTTGTAGCTCGGCAGACTGCTGTCTCTCAGGAAGTGTTGTCTCTCAGGAACTGTAAGCCTGCGTGACCCCGCTTGTGCCTCCCATCTCGTCAAAACGTAGGAAGAAAGGTGTCAAAGTAACTACTAACTTGGATTACACGGGCTCCTGTCCATTCCTGACTTGCTCAAAAAGGGTGTCCCATTCGCCAGAGGCCACTCACTCATGATCCCAAATAAGTCCTTTCCCACGGCAACTGCAGTGTCTGCCAGGAGTCACCCCCATTCTGCCGGGGTGCACACACTCATGCACATCCAGCCCGGACCCTGCCCAGCACCAAGCTGTGCGGGTTCTCTCTGGAACGGACGATTAGCCCCTTCCCTGACTCTGAGTCTCACTCTGCTACTTGCACTGAAGCACGCCCACCTGTACTCCCATGTCTCACTGAGCCTTTAATAAAATCAACTCTTTCAGCTTCTGTCTGGAACCTTCTTCTCGGTAAGGGCTCAGGTACAGCTGACACCATAGGGTCGAGACTCACACCATTCTCTCCCTCTTCTCACGCCCATCAGCTCTCCAACCTACCCCGGGGGCCATATCAGAAGCCTCCCTGCAAACCACCTCATACCAGTGACACCACACAGGGCTGCCTCCTAGCTCAGGAGACAGACCCAGATATGCTAGGACATCAATTTGAGTTCAAGGTTAAAGACCCACTTCACCTAAGGAAAGGAAACACAGCAAAAGCACACTGGACTAAAGCGAAAGGTTGTCTGAACTACTAAAAAGCCTACATTTCATAACTTTGAAGAAATGCATTCACTCATTTATTCACCAATGAACACCAATTGTGCATTTACTGCCAGGAGGACAGATGCACGGTAAGCGTGCCTCCACCCCCTGCACCCTGGCCCAGGCAGACATCGCTGGTCAATCAGGCACTTCTCCATTGAATCTAGATGAGACAGCGTCTTTCTCAAAATTGCATCCAGGCAATCATTACCAATCAATAAGAATTGGCCTGTGAAATAAAACCAATCTGCCATTCCTAATCAATTGTACATTGGTGACAACAGATCCTGGAGATATCAAGATGAATAAAAATAAGATGCTTGCCTTTGAGCAACAGCTGGGCAGCCAGACACATAGCTTCTAACTGTCAACACAGATTTTGAGGGAGGAGGGCTGTGGTAGTCGGGGCAGGCTGAACCGAAGAGGTGCTATCACATAAAAAGTGGGAAACTATCGCAGCGGGAAGGATGAGGTAGGGCAGTCCAGGCAGACAGAGTGGCGCCATCCTAGACAAGTGGACACGAATGTCCATGGTGTGTCCTGGGGACAGGTACAGCGCACAGGACGGAGGGCGGGAAGTGCAGTTTGAAGCCAAAGTTTGGCTGAATGTTGATCAGAGGACAATGGGGAGATAGTTGAAGGTTTCTGAAAAGGGTAGTGATAAGATCAGATCAGAGTTTTAGAAAATTAGTTCTACTACCAGGAGGACAGGAGACAGTAGAGACATGTGGCAGGAGCCAGGAGGCCCAATCAGGAAATCTCGTTGATAGATGAGGCCAGTGGTTTCCAATTAATATTTATTGAATGAATGAATGAACGAATGATGGAGGCAGGGGGTGAGGCCACGGGGAGCCGGGCCCCACTCCTGCTCCCAGTAAAGCAGCACTCTCTTGTTTATAAATGGGACTTCTACATAGATTTTGTTTGAAGAAAGTATTCTGTGATTTACAAAAGAAGTCTGAAAAACCGTGTTTAGGGCAGAGGTGATGAGGGTGAACGAGGCAGCGTCCCTCAGAGAAAAGGAGTAAAAGGCAGGTGGAGAGTGATTTCCAAGAACACAGAAAGGAGCTGGTGGCCAACAGGATGTGGATATGGTTTTGGTTTGGTTTGGTTTGGTTTTCAAGAACAGAATGACACAACAAGGTCTACCCAAATCTGTCTCAAAAATGTTTGTGTTTTTAATGCAAATTGACATTTTAACATTACTTTAAAGACCATGTTCCCAGGTAGATTAAATGTTTCCCAGTAAATTTGGTTTGATTTGCTTGGCCAGCTCTCTGCCCACGCACACTCATGCAGCAGTAGCTCCAAATGTATGATTAGTCTCTACCTGAAACATCAGACATTTCCAATTAGTCCCAATTAATAAAGTTTAAGAGAGCTACCCTTGGCTCACCCATAATTTGCCTTCTAAACCGTTAGAGAAAGTTAACAATCCCAATCAGACTCTCCTTTGGGACATACAATTCATGAGTGAGCCACAAGCTTCCATGCACCAATGGTAAAGGACTAGGGACCCCAATTCCCATCTCTCCCTCACTTTGCCTTTGGTTCACCCCTCCCAAAGCCCTGAGGAATGAACACTACAGCAAAGCCTTCCCTAATCACCAGAGAAATGGGGAGGTGTGGAGCAGTGGTTCTCAGAATTAGAGTTCCCCAAATTTGGAATGCAATTCTGGGGCCCAACGACATAGGATCGCCAATATGTCATTTTTCCAAGAAAGAATATTAAGAAAACAAGTACCACTGACTACAGTCATTTCCAAAAAGACAATTCAGCACCAAAAAGCAAGAAAAGTCATCTCAGGAATAAAGAGTGGTTCTTTAAATTGAATACACTTTGCTTTGTGAAAAGCTTTCTGCATGGGACTTAAATGCTGTATTTCACTTTAGAGCAGTGAGACCTTTGCCAGTGACCAGCGGCCTCCAAGGGTGGGGTGTGAGTACCCCCGGGTAGAGAGTTAGCAAGTTCCCAGGGCCTGGGGGAGAGTTGCTGCCTCTTCCCCTGACCCCAAGGCCCTGGAGCCGCAGGAAACTGGAAAGGAAACCACTACCATGGGAAGAAGGGGGAGGTGTGTTGCTGCCTTCCAAGCTGGAGCCTGGAATTTGATTTTCTGTGAATGAAACAGACATATAAATGTGACTTGTAGCAACTGGAATATCAGGAATAGTCAGGTACTTCAGGTAAAGTTATATATTAAATAAGCTTCGCTAGATTGACGTGGGAATTTAACCATTTATACCATTGTTTCTATCTGGAAGTAGATATGGTTTCCCAACAAATGACTTGAAAATGAACTTGAGCACAATCTGAAGCTGGAGGCAGCCTGTATTCTTGGCCTCCTGGTCCCTTTGGATTCAACATGCAGTGTTATTCTCATCCCTGATCCCCAGATGCAAGTACTGATTGGTGTTTAAATGGCACCTTTTCATTAATGAGCTTAAAGTACTCTCTGCAGATGTGTGCATGTGTGCTCTTGCGACCTCTGGGACATCTGCCTGGGTGGTGGAAAGGGCCCCGGCTGGGAGTTAGGAGCCCTGGGTTCTGGTTCTAAAGCTGCCATACTTTAGCTCTAAGCCTTTGGGCAGAGGAGAGTGACTAAGCTATACCTTTCTGGTCCTTCCATTGTCAGTACTCTATGATTTATGATTTTATGGCAAGTAGATCATATTGGCAATAGAAACTTTCCATAGCTCCCTTTTCTGGTCAAAATGTAGGGAAAATAGTCCAATCATTTTATTAGGATGTCTTTATTTTTATGACTTTTCCACCAAATGCATTGCTTTCTTTAGTTGGCCCGGGTTTTGGGGACATAGACTTGGCTATTACGTCCACAACTGTTCTTCACAACAGGCAACAGGGGATGAGGCAGCCAGAAGCTTTGAAAGTTCTATAACTTACAGTTCCTGCTGGGATTTTTATTTGATGAAACTGTTTTACCTTAATAAATTACTGAGGCTTTTCTTTCCCCTGAATCTTTTCTTGTGTCTTTGTTCGAAAACAGGCCAAAGAATATGCTCGAGAAATTGGCCACCTCCCTGTTTTGAAGGTGAAAGATTGCTGGGTATCACCCTGAAAAAGAGACCTCTCCTATTAGATGTTTCTGTGGTTCCAAGCCCTCAGCAAGCTGTGCCTTTGACTTGGCAAAGGAAGTCATCGTTTGAAAAGCTATTTCTAGCCCAGCACAGCTGTTCATAGCTTAGGTTCAGCAAATGCCTCATTTTTGCAGACTCAGTCCGAATACCCCGAGAAATTATGAAGACCCACGTGTGTGACTTTGATGAGTGAACAAGGAGTGACCACTTGTCCAGGGTCTCACAGAAGTCCCCCATTGGACATCTGATTATACTCTTCTCTTAGCTGGCCTAATGCAGGCTCTTAAACACAAAAACCCGGTAAGAGTCTAACACCCTCCAGGTTCCTGTCTTGGTCTCTCACTAGTGAAATCAAGGGATCAGATGATTATAGTGATAGTAGTAATTAATAATAATAATAACAACAGTAGCGACTTTCATTTATTTGGTCCTTACAATATGGCAGGTAATATGCTAGTACTTTATAAAACTATTATGCCCATTTACAGATGAGGGAGAAGAGATCATGAAATATGCCGAAGAACACGATAGCTAAGAAATAACAGACCTGGAACTTAAACCCAGGTCCACCTGGGGAAAAGGCTCGTCTTATTCCACTATGGTGCCCGGGTTAAAATACTGACATAGAGACACGGATATGGGTATCTGTCACTGCCCTGGCTCCTTCTAGCTGACAGATCCTTGTTAAGGTTTTTAACAGCCTGTCCTTAATTCTGCTAAAGTAACAGCCACTGCCCCAGCCTGTTCTCACCTGCACAATGACGGAACTTCTTCCCTTAGCCTTCCCTCCGGGTCTCTGGGACGCCAAGTGGCAGCACACGCAGGAAGCTGCAGTGCACACAACTCACGCACCTGCTTGCTCTTCCCTCATTCCTCTCTGCTGGCCACTTCATCAGCCACGTGATGCCATCTGTAACCTCTGCTGACCTGCCTAAGTTTCTGGGTGGCGCTAAACCCCCGGTGACCTCTAATAGACTTTGGGCTATCGGCGCTCCTTTCTCCAGCTGCTTATGGGGCCCCTTGGTGTCTCTGCTTACCCCCAGGCCTCTCACTGGCTGCTGGCTGGAAGGGACAGTACTACCTCCTGTGTCCTGCTGTTGTGTGTGTTCCACTCTGCCTGTGTATCATAGGGGCAGGAAGACACAGACCAGCAGCACCCTTACCTGGCGCGCTCTGAGGTTACAGTGCTCCCATCCACGGCGTATAAGCACCCGGGGCAGGATCAGAATGGTGCACATTGAGGGTGCTGCGCTCAGGCGACTGGGCCAGGGCTCCTGCCTCAATTATAGGGAAGTTTTTCTCCCAGGGCCCTGGTCCTTCCCTGTAATTTGGTGTACATGTCTGTATATGAACCCATAGGCTCCCGGGCCCATGGAAATCAGGAAATGAGCTAGAGGGAGTGAGGTGTTTCCTAACAAACCCTGGGTGTTTGAGTCTCAGGAGAGGAAGTCAGGGGAGGTGTGCGTTGGGCTGGATAAGATTTTGAGCTATCTATTTTGATTGCATCCCTGTTTTTCCTCTTTTTCTCCCCCCCATTCAAACAGATAATAGCTGACTCTGTGCTCCTGCCTCAAGGGAGGTTTGTGGCAGGACACAAGGCAAAGACTGTCCTTCCAGGCTTTGGGGGAAAAGCGAAAGCCCTTGGAGAAGAAGATTCAATAAAAAAAACAAAAAAAAGACCGATTGTCCTACAGAAACAGGGAAGGGAAGAGCGATTTCCCCAAATTAGAAAGAAATTCCGTCCAGCCAGGAGGAGGCGAAGGTGGAGGGGCCAGAGGGAGGATTTGTGAGCCCTGCTTCCTGGGAGAGTGACGTCAGCACAGAGGCCCCTCTGCAGAGAGAGAGCAGGGCGGAGCGGCGGGAGGGAGACGCGGGTGGCCGGCAGCACAGAGAGCGGCTGGGCCCCAGGGGCCGTGCAGTCCACGCAAGAGCAAGGCTGTCTCCGAGAGAAACTGTGCAGACAGAGAAGCAGGACCAGACGGGCCCCACCCCAGAGGCCTTGGCACTGCGTAAGCTCCAGAAACTCTGGCATAAATACTCGGGGAGCGGACCCCAGGAAGGACCGAGGTCATGCATTTTTTGTTTCTTTTTTGTTTTATTCTGCCAGCCAGGAGAAATAAGAACTTGGCAGTAAGCATTGAGTTGTTATAGAAAACGAAGAAGGTTACTCTTAAACTTCGAGTTTGTGGACTGAGATTCCTGCCCTCTGTCACCCATCTGTGCCCCTCTTGCATGAACCCAGGAGAGAAAAGTCTGCTCACGCTCTGGCCCCGACATTTGGCAGGGCTCAGATCTTCTGTCCTGGACCCAAGAATAGGTAGCCTTGACCATGAACTGCCTTCTTTATGCTTTCTTTTCCATTTCAATAATCATTCAGTGAAACAGTTTTAAATGGAAAGCACTCAGTAAACATTGTTGAGTTTTTCCAGGACCTTAAACTTCAGAAGGATGTCACAAAGTCATCTTCAGAGAAGCTGAGTGCTTGTAAGGCCAAGAAAGCAAGAGTCCTTAAAGAAAAGTTCTCATTAAACATTGCAGAGCACTGAATTTCCTGCCTTATAATTGTGATGAATGGTATGGCTTTGTTTTTAAACACCTAATCTTGAAAATGACTCTGCTGAGAAGCCTAGTATTTTTTTTCCAGAATACGTCCACTGTGCATATTAAATTGACTAAACATTCAGAAGAAGAAGCACAAATCAGACCCAGGAGAGTCTACTGTTCAGCGTAAGTAGGAGGGAGGGAGATGTCAGCAATACCAAAAATACACTAAAATTCTGATTAAAATACCAGATCCAATTCCACGCAAGCCTGTTAAGAACGCTCAAACTGTTGAAAATAAAATGGAAAAAAGCAATTCCTGACTAGCAGTAGCATCTAATTGTTTAATGAACATTACACAGCCTAGATCCTATTACTAATGTCTCTCTTCTTCGATGTATGTCCACTGATGAAGGAAAGTTCTTTTTTGGTTGCAGAGTGGCCTTCAGAAATTGGATGCCCTGAGAGATGACAAACAGGCACATCTTTTTCTTCTTGCTCACAAGTGAAGCTCTGGCAGCTTTTGACAGGTCAGAAACACACATGAAATGCTAAACTTAGTGGGTTGTTAGATGATTTTCTTAAAGTTGAAAAACATTTTTAAAATAAATTTTCCTTATGTCTACTTTTTTCCACATTCTCAACTCTGACATTCAAGTGTACTTCACAAACCGACATGTAATAACATTTGAAAACCAAATTCAGAAAACCCTCATGGATCCAGACTCCACTCTTAGAGAATCTACAAGGTGTTAGGCTAGGGGACCACCAGGAATCTTCTCTGAGCATTCTTAGGGACACACAGATGAATACTGTAAATAAGATTGTTAAGAATAATGTTTACTTAAGTAAGAGAAGTTTTCATGTCTGTTAGATATCTCCAAGCAATTAGTTACTTTGAAGTTGTCTTTGTTTTGGTCTTTTCGTTAGAGCACTGACATTCAACAGACCCTCCCGGAAAGGGTCTTATCTGTTGGTTTCCCTGGGTTTCCTAATCAGGAAGGGCTCTCAGGACACATCTTCTCAAACTCTTTTGTAGGCTCTTCCTCACCCACCTACTTAAATGGTGGAGTTACTCAGGATTCCATCCACGGACCTCTCCTTTTCTCACTTTCCACCAACTCACTGGGTAGTATCAACCCCAAAGGCTTCACTTAGTTCTATGGAGATAACACTCACATTTATGTCTCCAGTCCTGACCTCTTCCTTGAGTTCCCTCATGTGTCTCCTGTCTCAGTGGGTGACCTCATTTATCTACTGCTAGCCTAAGCCTTAAACCTGGACAGCATCCTTAATTCCTCTCTCCCTCACCATCACCATCCTAAATATCACTTGAACCATCCACTCTGTCTCTTCACACTGTCACCAACTTATTCCTGTCATCATCATTTCTTGCCTGAATTTCTATAACAATCTCTCAACTGATACATCTGCTTCCAATACATTCCCCTCACTGAGACCACAGGGATCCTTCTAGAGTACAAATCTGAATATGTCACTCCTTTGCTAAAATCCCTTGTTCAGGACTCTCACTGCCCTCAGGATAATTCCAGACTTTGCATAGGCTGACAAGGGCCTTCATGATGGGGACCACGCTCGCCTCTCAGCACCGTCTTCCTGTCCTTGCGCACCAGGCTAAACGCACCACGTTTGCATTTTCTGTTCCCTCTGCTTAGAATGTCCTTCCCCTCACCACTACTCTCTCCTGGGTCTATTATGTTTCTTTTGGCTAAGACATCACCTCTGCTGGGAAGCTTTTCCTGGCTTCCCAAGACTGCATAAGGTACCTCTCCTGTGTGTTCCGATGTGCTCCTTGGTACCTCCCAGGTCACAGACTTAACACCCTGAATAGCCACGGCAGGTTTACGCTCTGTCTTCTCGGATGAACTGTAAATGCCTTCAGGGAGAGACATGTCTTGTTCATTTTATCCCTGATGGTCAGTTCATTCTATACGCTCAATAAATATTTGAAGGATGAATGGTTGCAGTTACCCTAAATATCTGTTTCTCAGTTTCCTGATTCTAAATTCTGAACAGGGAGGATCTAATTAGCCCTGCTTGGGTCAGTTTCTCTCCCTGGTCCAATGAGCTGAGTTATGGGTGTGAGGGCAGGGATGGAATCCCTTAGAAATGAGTGTCGGGGTGGAAGCAATTGGTGAGATGCTTACTAGAACTATACAGTGTCCTTCATTGAAACAGTAAACTGCACTTTATTTTAAAAATCATACATTGTATATTTTTCACTAATTCATACAGCCTCCTCCCATTAGTCCATTATAAAGAAGTGAAACTGTACTTTCATTATAACATATAAAATAAAAATTATCGAGTCACTTCTTACTCAATATTACTTACTCACTCATCCATCTATCCATTCACAAATATTACTAAATGCCTACTATGGGCTAAGGTCTGTGCTAAGTACTAGGTAGATGGTGGAAAATAAAACAAAATCTTGTTCTCATGGTGCCTACTTTAAAAAATAAAGACGCCAATGTATAATTCTCCATTATGAAATTTACTATGAAAGAAAACAATAGGGTGATATGAGAGAATAATTAGGGGATGTGATTCAGATATGGGGGTCAAGGAAGGCTTCTCAGAAAAAATAATTAGATTTAAGCTAAGACCTGGCTTCTTTGGGAGAATGACTGGGGGTGCTGAGTGGAGGGAGGTGGGGAGGACAAGAGTAGAACTGGAGATCTCCAGGGAATTATTATGACAGTCTTGGCAAAAGGCAATGGTGGTGCCAAGTGTGATGGAAAGAGGCAGATGGAGTCAGGACACTTTTGGAGGTGGAACTGTTTGTACTTCCGATAAGTTAGATGTAGGGGTGAATCAGAGGGAGATGCCAAGAATAGAGGTTGGTGTGGAGGTTAACATGGATTCTGAAGCCAGATCATCTGAGTTTAAATCCCAGTTCCACCACTAGTAAGCTGTGTGACCTTGGGAAAATTACTTAACCTCTCTGTGCCTTGGTTTCCTCATCTATAAAGTGGGTGATAATAAGAGTAGCTACCTTACAGATTTGTTAAAAGGATTAGATGGGTTATTATATACAAAACATTTCAGACATTGCCTGGCATATTACTAGGGTTTCTTACAAGCTAAGAAAGGGGTGAATTTTCAGGTCTCTGACTTGAGCAATGGAGTAATGCAGGTGACATTTACTGAGATGGGAAAGACTAGCAGAGGAAGAGATCTGGGCAGAGTGACGATCAGAGATCAGCTTTAGACACAAGCCTGAGATTGCTGCAGACCTTCTGGACATCTCCTCTGGATGGGAGTCTGATCTCAGAAGAGAGGCCTGGCCTGGAGATGTCAATCTGTGAGATTCAAAACATAGGCAGGATTTAAAGACTGGGGAATGGAAAAGACAAACAAGGGAAGGTGTGTAAAGTGGAAAAACAGGGCCAAGGACTGAGCCACAAGAGTTCTCTAAGCTGAGTAGAGAAGAAACCAACAAACGATTTAGGTGCTGTTATACATGTGCATTAGACAAGTGGAAATAGAAACATCTAGTAAAATTGGAATATAAGGAACACTGAAACAAAGGACCTCCCTTCCTCTTCTATTTTAATGGAGCCTAAAAATCTAATCCTCTGTTTAGTCTTGTTAAGTTGATTTTGTGGCTTCTTCTATTGCTCATTGGAGCCTCTTCATCCAAAGACGTAAAAGGAAGTATGGGGTGTCTGGAGACTTATGTGGTTTTGGTGGCTGGATCTTCAGTGGTGAAGACAGAGGGTGGGGCCTAGAACTTGAACCACATGATGAAGTGCCTTATAAGCTGTGTTAAGGAAGCTTAGGCTTGATAACAACGAGGAGCCATTAAAGGTATTAAGCAAGGGTGAAACATGATCATTTTGCATTTTAGAAAGATCTCTCTTGAACAAGGTGAATAGTTGGGACAGGAGCAAAACCAATGGTGGGAGACCAATGGTGGATCCGCAGCAGGGACCCAGGACAGAAAAGGGGAGAACAGTTCAGATCCGAGTGATGACCATAGTGAGGAACAGGTGGGACCAGGTGACTGAGTAGATAGAGAGGGCAAGCAAGAAGACGACACCAAGGCTTCCGGTTTGTTTTCAAACTAGGCTGTGCCTTTAATACACTGCATTTTTTCCTAATACTATGTACTTATGCTTCACACAGCAGCCTCAATGCTTTCTGTAGCGATAACCCTTTAATTTTCTAATATGTTCTCATCTTGTCCCCTGATGAATGCACACAGTCATTAAGTAGCTCAAATGGAAAATAAACATGCAGATTTACTTCATTTGGGCTCAGTTCTCTGGGCCCCAGCCTGGGTAGAGGAAACAAATTCTATTACCTAAACCACAGAAGCTGAAATCCCCAGAGAAAGAAGAAAATACTCCAGTGATGGACTCGATCTCTGCATCGTCTGGCTTAATTAAGTATCAAAGTATTAATACGCTAGACCTTATTTACAAAAGAAAATAATTTAGTTCATCATTATGAGAAAAAGTCCATGTTTCAAATAGCAATATTTCTGTAATCAATAAGACAAACTCTTCTAAACCCCATTTAGATCTCTGTTAATGCGGAAGCTTTTTCTAACTACCTAGCTCAACACTGCTGGCTGCAAGCGGAATTGATTTGCAGCCATACATAAATATCCATAAAAAAATAGGTAGCTGCCTCCTTGCTGGGAGCTCAAGGACCCAGGGGAAGGCATTTTTATCTCTAGGTATCTTTCCCAGCTCTGTCATGCTGTTTACAATTATCATATTCATCATTCGTTTCTTCTCACATTCCCCAATTCCTCTCCTCCAAGTCTCTCGAATCTATTCCTATCCACCACTCCACTGAAACTGCTCATCAAGGTCACCGATGACCTCCACTTTGCTAAATCCAATGGTCAAGTCTCAGTCCCTGTCTCACATGACCCATCAGCTGCATTCACTGCAGTCAATCACTCCCTCTTCCTGGACACACATTCTTCAATTGGCTTCAAGGACACCACCTTCTTTTGCTTTTCCTCCTACTTCATTGGTCTCGGCCTTTCTTGCTGCCTCTCTCCATGATCTCTTCATGTACAAAATGTCCCTGGGCTCTGTTCTTAGCCCTCTTCTCTATAACTTAAACCCTTGATGATCTCATTCAGTCTCATGGTTTTAAATAACATCCTATTCTCATGACTTTTCAATTTGTATCTCCTCAACTCCGGACTTAACATCTACCCAAGTGCTCACTCGACATCTCCACTTGGATGTTTGATTCATCACAAACTCACCATGTCAAAAACAAAACTCCTAATCTCCCCTCAAAAGCTGTTCTACTCATAGCCTTCCCCATCTCAGTGGATGGCAACTCCATCCATCCAGTGCTCATACCAAAAATCTTGAAGTCATCCTTGACTTCTCTCTTTCTCTCAAAGCCCACATCTAATCAGTCAAGAAATCTTGTTGATAGTACTGCAAAATACATCCAGAATCCAATCTCTACTTATCACTTGCACTGCTACCATCCTAACCCATCCGGGCCACCACCATCTCTTGGCTAGGTTACTTAATATACTCCCAACCTGTCTTCCTGTTTACACCCTTGTCTATCCTCAGCACCACAGCTCAAGTAATCCTTTCAAAAAGTAATCAGTGACATCACTTCTTTACTCAAAACCTTGAAATGGCTCCCAGTAAAAGCCAAAGGCTTACAAACGCCTACAAACTCTTACTGATCTGCTGCCACCCTTAGCTCACTGACCTCATCTCTTACTTTCCCCCTTGCTCACCCTGCTCCAGAGACCCTGGCTTCCTTGCTGTTTCTCACACATGCCAGACAAGCCGTACCTCAGGACTGTCACTCCACCTGTACACTATGCTTAGAACACTCTTTG